ATGACTGAAACAGTGAAAGAGATCTAACCTAACTAACTCCATCTTGCTTCTAACCTTTAAGCTGTCCTTGTTCATTCCTGGGCATAGTCTAAACTAACTTTGGGAGGAACTTAGTTTATAGTTTAAAACAAAGACGGTAACACCTCTTTCCCAAAACAAGCATTCTTCTTCGCTGGGGCACTAGACTGCCTTTATAGGACTAACAAATTAGGCATGAGATGAGAAATTATGGTTTTAAGAGTCATGCAACTGGAGGCTACAAGATTCTGACCCTCCCTAAACTGCTTCTAAGATCAGTGCTTAGTCCCTGCACTTGATGGATCAGCAGGTACCACCCAGATGGATAAAATGGCTCATCCTGATCTTGGGGCCCCTACTCTGGAACCGACTCAGCGCAAGAGGGCAGCTTCCTGGACAACATGGTGAAACCCCATCTCTACCAAAAATATAAAAACTAGCTGGGCGTGGTGGCACATGCCTGTGGTCCCATCTACTCGGGAGGCTGAGGCAGAATAATCACTTGAACTGGGAGGTGGAAGTTGCAGTGAGCAGAGATCCTGCCACTGCATTCCTGCCTGGTGACAGAGCAAGAGTCTGTCTAAAAATAAAATTTTAAAAAAAGGACAGCTTCAATTTCCTATGATTTCATCTCCTACCTGACCAGTCATCACTCCTGGATCATGGACTTACCCCAACCACCAAGTTGTCCTTAAAAACTCTGATACCAGAATGCTCAGGGAGACTGATTTGAGTAATAATAAAACTCTGCTCTCCCACACAGCCAGCTGTGTGTGAATTACTCTTTATTGCAATCCCCTTCTTAATAAATTGACTCTGTCTAGGGAGTGGGCAAGGTGAACCCACTGGGCAGTTACAATATTTTTTCCTGGCCTCCCTCATACCCCTGACTTGTTTTTCTCTGATTCTTTTTATTTGGTCTTCCTCACACTAACCTGGTGTCTACTGGAGTTCCATTATCTATTGTCCAGCAGAGGTGGTAAACTCAAATACCTTGAGGGCAGGAAGGGAAGATGAATGTGTTAAAGGAGCAGAGTGGAATTGGGAGTGGTGTGGAATAGGAAAAACTGAACATCATATGTTCTGCTAAAAAGGTTTCAGGTTTCTTTTTCTGAAATCATTGTCCAGGCCAAATTTATCCATTTCCAATGTCTGGCCACTGTGCTGTCCAAATGTCCACTGCCAATGTTTGAGTCAAGATCCTACCTGTCTCAAAAAGGAAGCCATGTTTGGATTTCTGCCAAGGTCAGTGAGGTCCTAGGGGCCAGAAGTTTCAGCAGGACCTGAAATGCAGTCATTTGTCTGACCCTTCTCCACATTTTTGGCCCTTGGGCTGGACTATTTCAGGTCCCATCCAGACTTCATCTTGACCTCAGCTGGGTCTCCCGGGCTTCTTGGCAATGTCTGGGGATCATGGAAAACCTAGTCCCAAAGTCACATGCATGAACCATGTGTGGCAGAGGTCTGCACTGCTTCCTGTCACATCCTGTGGCCTGTCTCTCATTTTGGGCCAGCCACAATGGTTAGCTTCATGAAAGCCTAGCCTCACCCTACAGCGACAATGCCCAACTTCAAGCAGGAGCTGGCATCTGTCAGCTTTGCTCTTCTGCCAGGACCTTCTTGGGCACCATGGTTATCTGCCCAGCCCTTGTGTGAGCACAAGCACCCAGGAATTAGACGGACCTTTCTGTCTCTATCTTATGCTTTGTTCTCACACATCAGTCAGCCACGTCTGAGCTTCCCAATCTGTCCCTTAGAATATCACACTCAACAGCATATGCTTTGTCCTTCACTTCTTCCTTATCCACCTGGATGATTCCTATTTATTCTTCACAACTCTACTCCTGCTTTGACTCCTTTGAAGAGCCATTCATCATTCCGCTACCCACTTCTATCTCTGTTAGTTCCTTTCTCTGTGTTTACATGTCTTCTCTGAATCTTGCCAACATAGAAGTATTTATTTTTTTCTCATAATTGTAGTGAAGAAAACATAATTTATTTCTTTTAAAGTTCAGTTTTGGTTACCATATACTAGTCAGAATTTTAATTCTTAACTTTGATTCATAGTGAAAATCTAAGCAGTAAACAATTTTTAACTCAGTCACATACTAACAATTTATGAATATATATTTTATAATTCTCAAAAACATAAGCTTTCTAATTGAACAATTTTTCAGTGGAACAGGACGTATTTATTAATAGATCAGATATCTTTTGTTTCTTTGAAATAAGAAGTTAATAGTATATGAGCTTACACTCATTTAGTAATATCTTAGCAATATATTTTATTTTGAACTTAGATATTTAATGAATATCAAATATTTAATTTAGCTTAGCAAAACTGAAAGGATACTTACTAAAAAGATTTGAGAAACTTTTAAAAGTAAACATTAAAAATTATGATTATTATTAAAATTGTACATATAAACTTTTATTTAAATATATTTTATTTATTTAATTTTAACAATTATGTTTGGAAAATTTTATGAGACTTTTGGCAACTCTGATCATCACCTCAAGTTAAATTTTCTATTAACCGCTTTTGTTTTATTGTATGTTAGATTAGGCAAGTATTATAAAAGCAAGAACCTGAAAGCTAAATATATGCATATTTTGCTGATAAACTCAGAAGACATCGTAATTTTTATTAAACCAACAGTATTAAATTAGTCTTATTTACCAAATGATTTACTCAAGTCACATAAACTGGGAAAATATTTGGGCTTATTTATTTAATTTATGAGCACTCATTTATCTTTAAGTTAATTTGGTATCATGTAGACAAACACAAACATATGTATAGACATATACATACATGTAGACACAACACACCACCTAAAATGTACTCATGCATGTATAGAAAAGCCAAAGAAGTCACAGAGTTCAATTTAAAAAAAAAAAAAAATAGAGCTTTACAGCCGATAGGAACCTATCTATCCACAACTCTTGGGGTTCCATGAGGAAAAACAGAGGCTCCTCCCCAAAAGAGAAGTCTGTGGTGCCTTTTCTGTTTTCCTTCAGGGATCCCAGAGCTATTAGAAATATTTTTTAGGTACACAATGCTGCAATCTTTCCTCTTGCAACACTGTGGGTGGCAAGAGGAAAGAAGGGCAGAGAGAGGTGAATGGAAGAACAAGTCTAAGAGGCAAAAATTTTATCAACAAGAGGAGAAACAGACAGAAGGAGTGCATATAGTTAGAGGGGTTTAAGAAGAGAGGAATTCAGTTGACTGAGAAGCTGTCATAGACAAGAGAGGTCTTAAAAATACATGCATACACATAGAGCCTAAATAACAGCTTTTAATTAAGGTGACTTTTGACTATAGAGTTCTTAGAATTTTTTTATGAAATTTTAGCTGGGCAAATACCAAACATTCCTGTTCCTTATCTTCTCCTTTCTTAAATTTACACAAAAGAAAGAATCTTGGAGGTAGGGTATATTTGTTTATTAGAGGTCTAGTGTAATCGCTGTTTAAAGTTCTTTCTCTTTAAAATGTTTTGATAAACTATTTCATTTTTCTAATCATATGGTTCCATTTAGCTTAGGAGAGAAGGCAAAAAAAAAAAAAAAAATCCTATTATGCTCTAAATGTAAGCCAAAATTTAAATCAAAGGTATACCTCGATTGTTTAAAATGAATAATTTTTATAAATGTATCTCTCCTGAGCTAAAGGTACCCTCTGAGGAAAGAATTTTGTGGTTGGTTCAAAGCACTTTAACTCTGTTTCAAATCCTAATCGCAGTTGGAATGCTGCTTAGCTAATTCCCTAGATGTTCACATTTCAAAGTCACAGTTAAGAATTACATCTAAAGACTATGAAGGATACCCCCCTACACCAACAAAAAATCTTCTAGATACAAAAGTCCCAATTCCAAAGTAAACCTCCATTAACTGTGACTTAAAATCAGGAAGTCTTTTATGGCTTTTAACCAGACACAAAAATTACATCCCCAAAGAAGGTGCAAAAATGCAATCCCCTTCAAGATCTGAAGTTTTTCCAAAGATGGCCTGAGAAATGAAGACTTTTATTATTAGCAAGGCGATGAAGGTTGAGACAATTAAGACAAATTCCTGAGAGCCAGCACATTTAGACAAACAGACATTTTGGGTCTAGTGGAACTCCCAGCTGGCTACCTGTCATAAGCCAGACAATTTATGCCCCCGAGGTGGCACAGACCACAGAATAAATTCGCTGCTTACAAAGCTAAGTTTCCCAAGAAGTAAAACAAGATGAAAGAAGAATCATGTTGTAATCCTCCTATGACAAACCATGCAGAAAAACAGACAAGGAAAACAAAGATCATCCTTGTTAAACTAAAGATCAATAACCAAATAGATACTTAAACAAATCTACAAGAGTCACAGATTCAAAGAACTAATTTTATTATAATTTGTAAATGTTTTCCTCCTGTCAATCAGAACCTGGAAAGGGATAAGGAAACTTTTTACCATCTTTATTGGCCAGGTACCACAGATAGAAGCTTGGGAGAAGCTGAACTTGGTGAGAAATCTTATCCTTTTCTGCTGCATTTTTCGGTTCTCCCAGGATTTCACCTGCAGGTCCTGGAACAGGTAGGATGCCTCTGTTGGCCTCATCTTGGGTGCCAAATTGTAAAGGAGGAAACATAATTTCTATTCTTTCCCTTTTTAGATTCTTAGACACTGTTGAGACACTCTCCTGAAAACAAAAGTCAGATTAAACAAGTGAGAAAAACAAGCAGAGTTTATTAACACATGCTATACCCATTGCGCAGGAAAGGTCTCAGTTCGAAAGTATTTCTCAAGGCAGTGGCTTAGGGTCCTTGCTTAAATAATATTTTAACAAAAAGCCATAAATCCTACATAGTGACAAGACGAAGAAGAAAACATCATCAGGCTTCCAAAAGGTGGGAAAATATGGGAAGGTAAATTGATGGGGAGAGTAAAATCTGCTCCTAGATCCTCTAGTGCTCTTGTCTATGGGATCTGTCTCTGAGCGTGTTGTGCTGTCTTTGGCAGCACATGCACTAAAGTTGGAACAATACAGAGAAGATTAGCATGGCCCCTGCGCAAGGATGACACAAAATTAAAAAGCAATAGAAAAAAAAGTTTAGTTTAAATTTTTAAAACATGTACATTTTTTAAAAAAAAAGAAAGTGTGTTGTAAAAGGAGCATGTCCTTAGGTGGGAAAAGCAGAGAGGAGGGGCAGAGTCTGCTCCTGTGTTTTAAACTTTAACTTTAATAGAAATCCCCAGTATGTTAGAGAGGAATACTTTGGTTCTAATTCCTCTTTCTCTCATACATGTATTGGAGGCTCTGTAAAGGATGGAATACTTGTCAATCATCTCTGTGTTTGCATTCATAGTGTATGATAAACAACTGACACTAAGTAAATATTTGTTGAATGAAAAAGTGAACACATGAATGTGTAGTTTGCAGTATGCTCAGTTATCCTACTGGCACCAAATATAACCTTTCGCATAAGATCAGTATCAAAATTAGTAAATATTTTGTGGGAATTTATTTGCCACATAGAAATCATTTAATAAATGTTAAACCCTTATTTGAACTACAAAAAGAAAAAAAAAATCACTCAAGAGGGTGAGGGAAATGAATATAAATTTAACAAACCTCACCATACGGTTTTAATTATTTAATGATTTAATGAGTCCGAGAGTGGGTGAGTGCATGACTGATTGCTTCATGGAACCCATGGGGTTATGAGAAAGGCCGGGAGTTAGCTAGAGACCAATACTCTTAATTCGAGAAATACTTATGGGGTGTCTACTTAATGCCAGGTGAAGTATATAGTAAGATTGGGCTTATATGATGAATAGCTCAGTATTCACCAAGCTGTAATTACTTTGGAAAATAAAAGAATGTTTACCTAGTTTGAATAAATTTTAACATTTTAAATAGTATCCTGAAGGTAAAATTTGAATTTAGAGCATTTGGAGATCCTAGTATGTTCCCTTGTTCCACCTTAGGTTTTGATTGACTACATGCTATTTCCACCTAATGTCTCTCTGGATCAATTGAATCCTTAGTCTAACCATTAAGGATAATTATGAAAACTAATTATTAGGATCAATGTCAATTTTGTTCATGTACATAGGAGGAGGGGGTATCAAAGCACTTAGGAATCTTTTAGCCAAAATCTTGAATTTGTTGCAGCCAGGTCTGAGCCCTAAGCCCTAAGGTCACTGTGACAAAGATAGAATTGCTCTTGCTCTAATGTTGATTTTGTTACTTCTCTTCATCAGCAGTCCAATTCTGCAGATGTCTGGAGAGGCACCTTTATAACAGAAATGTCATGAACTTAGGAACCAAACTGAATCTGCCCTTTATTTAAATGTTTCATAAACTTGAACAAATTGGTTTTCATCTTGGAACCTTGGTTTATTTACCTGAAACGTCAGGGCAAATTGCACCTCATGCAGAATTTAATGAGGTCATAGTCAAGCAGGCCTGATGTGGTCCTGAAAGAAGAGAACTGACAAAGGGTCCCCCTTTCTCTTCCTCAGAATCAAGAGCCTTGTTATTGGGATTTTTCACTTTAACTCCTGAGTTTCTTGATAATTCTGCCTCTCTTCAACTCCGGTCAAAAGTTCAATGTTAGCGATCTTTAAGAGGCAAAAGCGTTGGGAGAAAAGAACCCAAAGGCAAGAATTCCTTGTCTCTTCTATGTATGTCTAAGGCCTCCTGAGCTGCCGTTTCCTGCCTCGTCTAGATATGGCTTAAAAGGATGTTCGGTGTAGATTCTGAAATGTTCATGTCCAGTTTTGTAAAATGAAAAAAACTGAAACGGATGTGGAAATGTCCATTTGTTATTATTATAATCTCATACTCTTTGTTTCTGATCTGATCGCTATTTAGTCAGCAATAGCTTAGAACACTTTGGCTTTCAGTTTCTTCCTCTGTTAAGCAAATAACGATCTGTCAACAAACACTCCGCTAAGTGCTCTTTAAAGGGACCTTTTCATCCTTTTTTGATGTAAAGAGTCTTTATGGCACAAAGGAGTCCGCCTTCTAATTTAGTTTTTTAAAGGAGAATACTCAGGACTCCATTTACCTATTCTATTTAGAACTTAATTACACATAAAATAGTGTGTATTACTTTTCTTTCATTAGTGTAAAAAAGTACTATAGGTTTAGCAGCAAAAAACAAAACTTGTTTTCCTTAGCTAACACTTTTGTAGGTCAGAAGTCCAGTTCAGGAGGGTTCTGCTAGGTTCTATACTCAGGATCTCACGAGACAGAAACCAAGATGTGACCAAGCTGGGCCCTCCTGTGGGGGCTCTGGGAGAGAATTGGTTTTTAGTCTCATTCAGGGTGCTGGTATAATTCAGCTCCTGTGGTGATGGGCTGAGGCCCTCATTGCCTGGTTGGCTGTCAGCTGGGGCCATGCTGCGCCCCTATACACTGCCCACATTCCTTCTCAAAGGCTCACCTCCGTCTTCATACCAGCAACAGTGGTTTGAAGCATTTCTTTTTACACCTGGCGTTTCCTTCTGCTTTCTTCTCCTGTTAAAGAAAAAAAATATTCAATGAAACCTGTTAAAGCGCAGTCATATAGTCTTTATTTGGGACCACCACAACAGACATGGGGACTGAAGCAATGAGTGGAGAGAGATTGGACTCATCTTTGAATACAACATGGGCAAATGGGAATTTATAGCCAGGGAGCAGGGTGGGAACAGTGGATGAGAAATTACGAAGTAGAAACATCAGGGGTAAAGGAAATTCTGGCTGAACCGACCTAACAAGATTCTTGCTGAAGACAGATGATCAGATATCACCTGGGAGATGGTGGAGGATAGGAGTCCAGTCAGATATCAAGGATGGGGAGTTCTTGCTAAATTGACTTAGCAGGGTTCTTCCTAAAAGTGGATTTTATAAGGAAATGGATAGATGGGTCTAAAAGAAAATTCAGGAGGCTGATTAATGTTTGGTCAAGCAAAGAATTTCTGTCATACTAGAGAAAGCTTTGTGAATTTCAGGACTTATGGTTAGATTGGGTCAACCCAAATAATCTCCCTTTTTCAAGATCACCTGCACTATATAACATACAGAGCAATGGGAATACTATCTCTTCATAGTCACAGGTTCCATCATGGAATCTTGAGTGCCATTTTTAGAAATTCTATCCACCACAGGTACATCTCTACCAAAAAATAGTTTTCCACTGTCTCCTCCTTCATGTATCATTCTCCTGAGTGTTCTTCAGAAGGATACTGACATCCCTAGGCAAGAAGTCCTGGGAAATTGAATAAAAGTAGACAGAGTAATAGCAGGAGAGGAGAAATCAAATAAAAACAGGGATTTCTTAGTGATTTCCTTGAGTTAACGTCATTGAAAACTAGGAGCTTCCGAGGTTGAACCAAACCCAAGTTCTGAAATATCTCACTAAGACTGACGAGGAATGTATACCAACTCAAGTTTCCTTAAGTTAGACAGAATAATTTCATTGAGTTGCTAGATTACATAATAAAGCCTACCAACCAACTTGAATTAGAGTGAGCACTCACCATTTGCTCATGGACTATTAGATTAATAAGTGATACCAAACCAAGCTTATTCTGCCAATACACGGTAAGCCAATCACTAATACAAGTTTTTTAAAAGGAATTTTATTGATGAGGCAGCCAAGTGAGGAAATGGGAGAAAAGGTCTCCATTACATCTCCCTGAAGATGGGTTTTTAAGGATATTTGTGGGATAGAGGAGTAAGGTGGTCCAGGCACGGGGAAAGGTGATTGGCAGTGAGGAAAGATGTTGTAATCGTTGGTCTTTGCAAGTGTAGCTGGACGTCATGACTCTTCACAGAACACATATTCAGAAAATGGTGGCATTCCCATGATCTGAGGAAGGAGTTTTTGGCCATCTGATGTCAAAAGGTCACCTTTTAGGCATTTGCACAGGCCCAGTTGAAGGGTTGGTGGTTTCAACCAGTGGAAACCAGACAAGAGGTGTTTCCTCACTCCTGAAAAACAAGTTAAAGCAAGCATCATCATAGTGACATACACATCAGCTATATTATCTGTAAGGAAGCTAGTGGAAGTTGAGTACATATTGTTTGGCTACATGACTTTTAGCTATAAAGTTTTAAGATCAACTAGAAGTAAACAGTTAAAAGCAAGCAAGACAGATTAAGTTTGGCTGGCTTAATCAGGTCAGCCCTCAGTTTCATAAGGACTAGAGTACACAGTTATTGAGAAGACTGATAGTCAAGAGAGTTCTAAATTAAAACAAGATGTCAATTTCTTTATAGATTGATTTATAGTTTTATCTCAATTATCCATTTATATTAAAATATATACCACAGTGTGTCATAGCTAACAGTGAAAAAATTCATTAAAATCTTCCGTGTGCTGTGGGCAAAAAACACCTTCACAAAACACAAGATGAAAAGTATCTCGGCCATAATTCCTGATTGTACTCATTCATTTTTCAGTAAGTGCTGGGCACTTACCACGTCCTAGATACTGATGTGGGGCTGAGAGACAGCAAAGAACAGAACATGCCCAGATCCTGTCTTCACAAGATTTACATTCCAGGGCCCTGAGAAGTGAACTGCTGCACAGGTGCTCCTGAGCATGAGAAGCAAAGCTGGTTTCTGCAGCATAGTGACTCTGCAAGAGCGTGGCCCAAGGCAAACACCCATCGCGTACCTGAGATTATGTGTCAGGACCAGAGCTTTGACAGAGTGAAGGTTAAAAGCAATCTACTGTCCCTGGTATATGTAAGAAGTGCTTTATTGCCTCCCACAAATTCCAGAGTCCACCCTAGCCTGCTCTGGGAAAGTGGATACATTCAAACAGGAAGACTTAACCTAGAGACTCCAAGGTTTACCTAGGGGATATATGCACTCCATACCGTTTAAAATACGTAACAAAATTTTTCTTTCGTAGGACTTTGGGTAAGATAGTGCAATTTGAGCACAGGGTTTAACTGCCCTTCTTTGAATAATTCCTTTGGAAAGATTGATAGGTAATAAAAATAAGGGAAATTTTCATCAGGTTTGTGTTGCAATCAAACGTGAAAAAACTAAACTTGAGGGATTTCTAAATTATACCTTATTTCCATCCAGGGGAAAATACAGAGGCATACC